ATTTCTTGTGCATTTTTTTCTTCCCCACCCCCGCTTCTTATGCATTTTTAAACAAAGGATAATTATTTCATCAACTCTTGTTTTTTGAGATGTCTCTTGACTTTTTACTGGGTGTTCTTCATGGACTCATTTGTACTGTTTGTTCCATTTTTCAAGGTCTTGTCCAGAAGGCTAAGAAAGCAAAAGATAAGTTGTTGAAAAGAGAAGGGGATGATCGAGCAGAATCAGGGACCCAAGGATATGAATCTTTCAGCTATGGAGGGGTTGATCCTTACATGTGGGAACCCCAGGAACTTGGTAAGAAAATCCATTCATTCAGCAGATAGTTATTGAACATTTACTATGTCCTACATAAAGTTTAAGAGTTGCTGAGGAGGCATCAATAAACCATAATGGCCTAAGCTTCTCGTGGACCTTCTGCCCTTGTTGGGGGAGAAAATGGAAGAGAATGAGTTGAGCATCTGCTTTGTGTTAGACTCTGCATTAAATGCTTTATACATGGCTTTACGACACCCTACGGGAACCTGCCCAGGATCAAATAGCTGGTAAACTGCGGAAATGGGGTATAAATTCAGGTCTCTCTGATGTCAGCCTAGGCACAAATTCCATTGGTGGGTCTGTCTCCTCTCACATAGGGCATTACTTGCCTAGTGAGAGGCACTGGTTTGTGCAAATTACTTTTTAAAAGAATTATGACATCATCTACCTGTCAAAATGATAATGTTTTTGGGGTGATGAAAATGCTCTAAAATATATTGTGATAATTGCACAACTCTGTAAATACACTAAAAGCCATCGAATTTGCTCTAAATGGTGTATATGAATTATATCTCAGTAAAGCTATTACCAAAACGCTACACACACTGAGTTTAATGATCTAATTTTACATATCCTTTAACTGTTGAATGATAATAGTCATTAATATAATAAATTATTTTCAGTTCAGAAAATGGATAATTATTTCTCTGTGACATTTTCATATTTATGACCTTGTTCTTCTTTTTTTTTTTTTTGAGTTGGAGTCTCACTCTGTCATCCAGACTGGAATGCAGTGGTTGCTCCTGGCCACCGCAACCTCCACCTGCTGGGCTCAGGCGATCCTTCTGCCTCAGCCTTCCAAGTAGCTGGAACTATAGGTGTGCTACCATGCCCGCCTAATTTTTGACTTATTGTAGAGATGAGGTCTTGCCAAGGTGCCCAAGCGGGTCTCGAACCTGCCGGCTCAGGCAATCCACTCACCTCAGCCTCCCAAGGCGCAGGATTACAGGCTGAGTCACCGAGCCCGGCTGACCTTGTTCTTCTTTTACAAAAGCCTTGTGAGGTAGAATGGTAATGATGCTCATTACCATTTATAGATGAAGAAACTGAAGCCTTAAGAAAGGAAGTGATATTTACTCAGGCTCATCTACTGTATCCATCTACTATATAGAAAGTGTCTTTTTGGATAAGGAAAGTCCTAGAATTGTACTGTCCAATGCAATAGCTACCAGCCATGTAACTATTTCAATTTAAATAAATTTAAAATGAATGGGTGTGGTAACTCAGACCTGTAATCCCAGCTACTCAGAAGGCTGAGAGTGGGAGGATCACTTGAGCTCAGAAGTTCAAGGCTCCAGTGAGCTATGATCGTACCACTGCACGCCAGCCTGGGCAACAGAGCGAGACTCTGTCTCTAAAAATAAATAAATAGAGTGAAATAAAATGAAAAGTCATTTTCTCAACCGTACTTTAACTACATTTCAAGTGCTGGATATCCCTGTGTGGCTAGTTAGTGGCTACTATATTTGAGAGTGGAAACATTTTTATCATAGGAGAAAATTGCTTTAAAAATAATACTATATATAGGTAATTATGAGTTACATATGAAAACCAATTAGGAACATAAAGGATAAGTTTCAGACATGAATTATTTTTTTTTTTGAGTTGGAGTCTCACTCTGTTGCCCAGACTGGAGTGCAGTGGCTGCTCCCAGCCACCGCAGCCTCGACCTGCTGGGCTCCGGTGATCCTTCCGCCTCAGCCTTCCAAGTAGCTGGAACTACAGTTGTGCGCTACTACACCTGGCTAATTTTTTTGATTTACTGTAGAGATGAGGTCTCACCAAGTTGCCCAGGCGGGTCTCGAACCCATGGGCTCAGGCAATCCGCTCACCTCAGCCTCCCAAGGCACGAGATTACGGGCTGAGCCACCGAGCCCGGCTCAGACATGAATTCTTAATTAGCTTTGTGATAGTTTATTTCATGATTGCCAGTGTCAAGGTTATTGGGGTGATTTTCTGATTAAATTGTTTCAACAATGGAAGGAACGCACATATTGTGGAACGTCAAGTGAATGGCAAATTTTAAAAGTTGATATTTATGATCACTCCTAAGAATTCTAAACTAAAATTTAATTAGATATTAGAGTATGGTTAGGGAAGAAAAGACTTGTGGAAGGTTAAGAATATGACATGTAGAGATGTTGGTCAAAGGATACAAAATTTCAGTTAGACGGGGAATAAGTTCAAGAGCTCTATTGTGCAGCATGTGACTATAGTTGTTGTTGTTTCTTTTTTTGAGTTGGAATCTTACTGTCATCCATGCTGGAGTGCAGTGGCATGCTCATGGCCACCACAGCCTTGACCTGCTGGGCTGAGGCGATTCTTCCACCTTAACCTTCCAAGTAACTGGAACCACAGGTGTGTGTCACGCTTGAGTAAGTTTTTGATTTATTGTAGAGACGAGGTCTCGCCAACTTACCCAGGCTGGTCTTGAACCCCTGGGCTCAGGCAATCCTCTCACCTCTGCCTCTCAAAGTGCTGGGATTATATGCATGAGCTACCATGCCTGGTAGTGACTATAGTTAATAAAAATGTACCATATTCTTGAAATTGCTGAGAGATTTTAAATGTTCTTACTACAAAAAATGATGAGTGTGAGGTAAGGCATATGATAATTAGCTCATTTGACCATTCCACATTGTATACATATTTCAAAAGATCACATTGTATATGACAAATATATGTATTTTTTGGTCAATTAAAAAATAGTTTTGGCCAGGCACTGTAGCTCAAGCCTGCAACCGCAGCACTTTGGGAGAGTGAGGCGAGAGGATTGCCTGAGTCCAGGGGTTCAAGACCAGCCTGGGCAACTTGGGGAGGCCTTGTCTCTACAATAAGTAAATAAATAAATAATTAGCCGAGCATGTTGGCGCATACCTATAGTTCCAGCTACTTGGAAGGCTGAGGTGGAAGGATTGCCTGACCCCAGTTGGTCGAGACTGCGGTGGCTGGGAATGTGCCACTGCACTCCAGCCTGGCCAAAAGAGTGAGACTCTGACTCAAAAAATAAATAGATAAGCCAGGCTCGGTGGCTCAGCCTGTAATCCCAGCACTTTGGGATGCTGAAGTGAGTGGATTACCCGAGCCCGCGGGTTCGAAACCCACCTGGGCAACTTGGCGAGACCTCATCTCTACAATAAATCAAAAAAGTAGCCAGGCAAGGTAGCGCATGCCTGTAGTTCCAGCTAATTGGAAGGCTGAGGTGGAAGGATCGCTGGAGCCCAGCAGGTCAAGCCTGCAGTGGCTGGGAGCAACCACTGCACTTCAGTCTGGGCGACAGAGTGAGACTCCAACTCAAAAAATAAAATGAAATAAAATCAAATAAATAGATAAATAAATAATAATTATTTTTTTAGCCAGGTGTGGTGGGTAGCTCACGCCTGTAATCCTAGCACTTTGGGAGGTGGAGGTGAGAGGATTCCCTGAGTCCAGGAGTTTGAGACCAGCCTGGGAAACTTGATGAGACCTCATGTCTACAATAAATAAAAAAGTTAGCTGGGCATTATGGCACACGCCTGTGGTTCCATCTACTTGGAAGGCTTAGGTGGAAGGCTTGCCTGAGCCCAGCAGGTCAAGGCTGTGGTAACTGTGAGCATGCCACTGCACTCCAGCCTGGGTGACAGTGAGACTTCCACTCTAAAATAAAGATAAAAAGTAAAATTTTTAAAAATAGAGCGTGACGTTGCAAATTTCAAATGGTACCATTTATAAGTGAATAGATCACTGGGAAGAGGATGTGCACTGAGTGCCAGGGGGACTGGAGGCAACATTGGTTTCTGGAAGAAACTGAGCAGGGGATATTTTAGATACACTCAGGCAGTAAGCTACATGGATCTATTTGTGTTGTAACATTTGTTCTGGATCTTGGTTGCTGGACAGAGAAAGGTATAGGCTTAACTGGTTCCCCCAGGAGCATCTATTAGTGTTTATATTTTTTTGGACATTTTGAGAATTGTCTTTATTCTGAGGAAAAGCCATATTGTGCCAACTTTACAGAGTACAGAAAAATATAAGAGAATTTTAAAAATTGCCTGAAAGGGCTGGGATTGGTGGCTCAACCTGTAATCCCAGCACTTTGGGAGGCCGAGGCAAGTGGATTGCCTTAGCCTGTGGGTTCTAGACCAGCCCCGGCAATTTGGTTTCTACAATAAGTAAAAAACTAGCAGGGCGTGGTAGCATGCACCTGTAGTTCTGGCTACTCGGAAAGCTGAGACAGAATGATTGCCGGAACCCAGCAGGTCAACGCTGGGGTGGCCATGAGTGTGCCACTGCACTCCAACCTGGGTGACGGAGTGAAACTCCAACTAAAAAAAAAAAAAAAATTGCCTGAAAGGTTGCCACCCTTTTTATGTAACAAAAATGCACATGTCAGTCAGTGTTCTAAGGGCTGTACAAATTTTAACTTATGTAATCCCGCCAACAACTCTGAGGTAAATATTATTGTTATCTCCATTTTATAGATGAGTACTCCGAGTTACAGAGAGGCTAAGTAACTTGCCCAAAGTCACACAGTATGTGGCAGAATTGCAACTTGAACCGAGTCCAAACTTTTATCTACTATACTCTGAGGTCTCTCATATTGTACTTGACGGCCTCCAGAGGCCATATAGTTAACATTTTAGCAGATTTTCTTCTATTTGTTTGAGTCTTTGCTAAAACTCTAAAATCCTAGAATTTTTATTTGCTTTTGAAATTCACTGAGGATAAGCAGCAAGTTAGAGATGCTCCCTCAGAGAAATTGCGGGTCATTTATCGCCCCACCTTCCCTCCTCCTAGGTGCTGTGAGAAGCCATCTTTCTGCCTTCAAAAAACACCGAGCTGCCAGAATTGACCATTATGTTGTGGAAGTCAATAAATTAATAATCAGGTTAGAGAAGGTAAATTTTGTTGTTTTAAAACATGTTTTTTTTTTGCAAGTACAACTTTTCTGGGGGGAAGAATCACATTTCTGTAGCATGTGTTTTGTAGAAATACAGAGGGCATGGTGGGCAGTTCTAGCCTGAGCTGGCTATCCTGGCCACATGCTCAGCTTCCCTCTTCCCACCTGTGAGTCTCACTTGGCTACTGGAAAACCTTTGCCTTTTCAGACTCTTCTCTTTTGGATGTCCCAGGCACAATCTCTCAGTGAGGTGTAATGTGTGATATCGTTTGATGCAAACAGAGAAATAGTGACAGGTTTCACAGATATCCTTTGCCCCTAGAAATGCTCTTTGTATGTAAAACCTGGGCTGTGTGGTGGGCATGGTAGCAACAACAGATACAGTTAATACATGTACTTTGTAGGGAGAAATATATGCCCAGTTTTATGGTCCAGGAGGACTATGGAGCTGCCTCTCCCCATCCTTGCCTACTCTGGTTATTGCTGAAATAGTAACTGACAATAAAGAGGTTAGAAGTGGGTCATAGGAAGGAAGGTATCATCTAGATGCAAAACTAGTACTCTGTCCCATGATAAATTGCTTTTGTGACTTTGTGGGGTTGAGGATGACAGATGAGACTTGAGAAATGCAAATGTGCTAATTCCTCCTTGGTGCATGAATAGTGGAAAGCATGGAGCAAGTAGACATCACCTGATTAATTCCACTTGGCACTGTTTTCTCCTGATCAGCTCACTGCATTTGATAGAACGAATACTGAGTCAGCGAAGATTCGAGGTAACTCTAGACCTTTTCTCATAGTCATTCTATGATTTATTTTTCTTCCTGACCAAGTCTCTTTTTAAAATGACATGCTTTTTTGTTGGTTTGTTCTTCCCAAAGCTATAGAAAAGTCTGTGGTGCCTTGGGTCAACGACCAGGATGTCCCATTCTGTCCAGACTGTGGGAATAAGTTCAGCCTCCGTAACCGCCGCCACCATTGCCGTCTCTGTGGGTCTATTATGTGTAAGAAGTGTATGGAGCTCATCAGCCTTCCCTTGGCAAGTAGGTAACATGGAGGCAGCCCTGCACCCTCATCTCCCCTTGGACCTCACCTGTATGCAGATCACTGGGACTCTAGGGCTTTTTGTTAAGTTAATGGCCTATGGGATCTTCATTCACTTATTAATTCCATTTAGCCCACTACAGGTTGGACACTGTGCTAGGGGACAGGGACACAGTGATCCATAACAGTGGTTGACAAGGATCAGACAGTAAATATTTTAGGTTTTCTGGGCCACAGATAGTCCTGTGACATTTTTTCTTCTGTTTACTGTTTAACTTTTTTTTTTTTTAAATAGGGACAGAGTCTCGCTCTGTTGCCCAGACTGGTCTTGAACTCCTGGGCCCAAGCAATTCTCCTGCCTCAGCCTCCCAAAGTGCCCACTACGCCTGGCCTGTTTAACCTTTTAAAAATGTAAAAACCAGGCCAGGTGTGGTGGCTCACGCCTATAATCCCAGCACTTTGGGAGGCCAAGGTGAGAGGATTGCCTGAGCCCATGAGTTCTAGACCAGCCTGGGCAACTTGGTGAGACTTCACCTCTACAATAAACTAAAAAATTAGCCGGGCATGGTGGTGTATGTCTGTAGTTCCAGCTACTTGGAAGGCTGAGGTAGAAGGATTGCCTGAGCCCAGCAGGTTGAGGCTGTGGTGGCTGTGAGTGTGCCACTGCACTACTGCCTGGATGACAGAGTGAGACTCTGACTCAAAAAAAAAGTAAAAACCAACCGAGCTTGGTGGCTCAACCTGTAATCCCTTGCTTGGGGAGGCTGAGGTTAGTGGATTACCTGAGCCCGCGGGCTCGAGACCTGCCTGGGCAACTTGGCTAGACCTCGTCTCTACAATAAATAAAAAATTAGCTGGCCGTGGTAGCGCGTGCCTGTAGTTCCAGCTACTCGGAAGGCTGAGGCGTAAGGATTGCCTGAGCCCAGCAGGTCGAGGCTGCGGTGGCCAGGAGCAGCCACTGTACTCCAGTCTGGGCGATAGAGTAAGACTCCAACTCAAAAAAAAAAAAAAAAAAGTAAAAACCATACTTAGTTCAAGGGCCATACAGAAACAGCCTGTAGACTGGACTTGGCTTGCAGGTTGTCTTTTGCCTACCTCTGGTCTATAATGCATTGTCTATCCCCTAGCATACGTGCAAATAAATAATTGCTTTATAAAAAGATAGATACTGTGGGGGAAGAGTGAGCTGAGGTTGAAGCAAAGGAAAAAATAAAAAGTAAAAAGATATGTACAATGAGAGGAGTTGGATCAGCCATCCAGAAGAGGCTGGCCAACTCTGTCAGCTCTGGTTAGAAGTGGCAAGTGAGACGTTGAGAAGAAGGTCTTGAAAAATACTCGTAAGCAATGGACTAGTTAGTCCCTTTGGAATAAAAGTCACAACAAATTCACTGTCAGGTAGAAAAAACTAAAGTAATATGGCAGATGCTGAGCGATGTGGAGGCTCAAGGACAGCAAGAACACGAATGCTCAGGGTTAAAAAGTGACGTTCTGGAAGAGCCTTGAAAGATGAGCAGGGTGGCAGAAGAGTTGGGGAAGGAGGGCATTCTGAGTAGTGAAGAGCAGGAGCAAAGGTGTGATTTCCGGAGGGCCAGGACAGTTAGTAGATGAGCAAATCGAATAGTTGCAGTGAGTGTGGAGGACATATTTGAGCATTGTGGGAACGACGTTGCAGGGGTCAGGTTGAACCAGGTCCTCCAGGACTTTGCATCATCCCAGCTGGTTCAGGCTTGCTAAAGATGATCACAGGCTTCTGGGAAGTTTGGGGTGAATTTGTTGCTGGAGAGTCTGTGCATGTTGTTGGCCACAAGGTATCTGGACAATGTGGAGACAAAAGCAGATGCAGCTTCTGCCCAGGTCTCACAGCCACCAGGCTCACTTTACCTTGATACTTTCTTCCTGAGACCATCTTTCCATCTCACCTGAGACTAAGCTACATTTTTGGGACACTATTCAGCTTTCTTCTCTCGAGCTCATTAGCCAGCATTTACTAGGCGGCTACTCTGGGTTGGTCCTGCTGGATAAGTTGAGGGTGCAAGTGTAAGCAGGATACCGTTTGAACCTTCGAGAGTCACAGCTTCCTAGGGCAACTCTGGGGTGAACAAAGGACTGTTACATGTGGAGAAAAGTGGAAAGTGCTCCCAAATGGGCAGTAGGGTGGGAACTGATAGTTTTGCCCTAGGGAATTGGTAAATACTTCTTGGAGGACGTGCCATTTGAGCTGAACTTTGGAGAATAGGCCAAGTGTTTGGGAATTGTGGGGAAGGCTGTGGAAGAAAGTCTCCTGGATGGAAGGCTGAGGCGAGAGGGTCACCCAGCAGGTCGAGGCTGCGGTGGCTGTGAGTGTACCACCCCAGCCTGGGAGATAGAGTGAGACTCTGACTCAAAAAAAAGTCTCATGGAAAGATGGAAGAACGAATGGAGGAGGGTGATAGGTGGAAAGGTGAATTTAGGGGCTGAGTCCCAGAGCCTTGAAGACAGACTGTTCTAGGTTGCTTGGATCTTGTCTGGAGGACAGTGGAGTCCTTTCTGACTGGAGTCTAACACCAGGAAGGCAGAGGGGGGTACTTCTTGCCCAGAGGCACAGCCTGATCCTACTACTCCTCAAATCAAATGCCTGTGGACTGACACCTCACTGTAACGGGGGGTGGGATTGTCGAATGCTTTGGGGGTCACTGCTGCCTGTTGGTGTTGTGGTTACAGACAAGCTCACCAGTGCCAGCAAAGAATCCCTGAATGCCCACACCAGCCCCAGCCAGTCGCCCAACAGTGTCCATGGCTCTCGCCGTGGCAGCATCAGCAGCATGAGCAGTGTGAGTTCAGTCCTGGATGAGAAGGATGATGATCGGATCCGCTGCTGTACACACTGCAAGGACACGCTGCTCAAGAGAGAGCAGCAGATTGACGAGAAGGAGCACACGCCTGACATCGTGAAGCTTTATGAGGTGACACAATGTGTGCGGTCTTGGGTCTGATCCATCAGATCTAGTCGCTCGATATGTACACACCTGCAGATTCTGCAGAATGCTTTGGGAGGTTGTTCCTTTGAATTATTTTTAATTCTTGCTAAAGGGCCATGATGTGATTTCCCAGCGAGGCGTTGGTGAGTCAGTCTTCTGGGTGTGTTGCAACAAACTTGTTTCTTCACTCTTCCTTGCTCACTTGAAAACCAGAGTGTAGAGGCTTTAGTGGGCTAGAGGCAAGAGGAGGAAGGGCAGTTGCCATGCAGTGGGGACTGGTTCTGTGGGGAGGACAGAAGCCAGAGATGGCACTAAACAATGGGGCAAAAGAGTCTTGGGAAACTTACTTGGGAGTTTCAGACTTTACATGTTTGAGAAAGTGTTACAAGTTTTCAGATTTTACCAGATTACTGCCCATAGGCTAAGAGTGTCCCCTTCTGAGCTTATTCAAATGCCTCAGCTCTCATTACCACCAGTGATCCCAGAATACCCTTAGTAGATGTACACTTTGAGAGGAAATAGTGCATTGCAGAGAACATCTGGAAATGAGACCGGCTTGGCCTCCTAATGGCCAGGTGAGACCTGTGAGCCAGGTGGGGCTGGGCAGGGAGGCAATAGGAGATAGTGGGAGAAGATCAGCTTGGGCAGAGGAGGAAAGAGTTCATGCAGAACTCTCAAGAAGGGTATGTTTTTGTCTGACGACCATTGAATGGTCACTGTTAGCACTTCTTCAGGCCATAACGGCAGTGTTTCTGGAATCACCGTGTAATTAAACCCTGAACTGAGCTGCAGATATAGCCATTCCTCAACCTTTGTGTGGAGTTCATGACCTGGTGTCTCAATTTTTAATTAGCCACTGGGCTTTTTGTTTTTTGGGGGCAGTGGGGGTTGAGGTCTCACTTGCCCAAGCTGGAGTACAGTGGCAAAATCATGACTCGCTGCAGTCTCAGCCTTCTGGCTCAGGTGATCCTTCCATCTCAGCCTCCCAAATAGCTGGGACTTCAGATATGCACCACCATGCCTAGCTAATTTTTTTACTTTTGTAGGGACAAGTTCTTGCTATGTCACCTAGGCTGATCTTGAACTCCTGTGTTCAAGCAGTCCTCTTGCCTCATCTTCCCAGAGTGCTAGGATTATAGGCATGAGCCACTGTGCCCAGCCCTGCCTCCTCCTTCTTTGAGGTGAGACCTGCCAATGCCATGCACTGGTTTCCTGCTGTGGCTTGGCATCACCTAGCAGAGAAAGAAAGTAGCAGCTAATTCCTCTTCTCTGTCTTGGTAGACACCTTGTCTTGTTGCCTGAAAGGACTTCTTCCTCTCAAAAACATCTGGTCAAAAGCTCCATCCTCATTTCTTTGCTTTCTGTAAGATTTTATGCTTGCCGGGTGTGGTGGCTCACGTCTATAATTCCAGCACTTTGGGAGGCCAAGGTGAGAGGACTGCCTGAGCCCACAGGTTCAAGACCAGCCTGGGCAACTTGGCAAGACCTCATCTCTACAGTAAGTCAAAAAATTAGCCGGGCGTGGTGGTGCATGCCTGTAGTTCCAGCTATTTGGAAGGCTGAGGGGGAAGGATCACCTGAGCCCAGCAGGTCGAGGCTGTGGTGGTCGTAAGCATGCCACTACACTACACTCCAGCCTGGGTGACAGAATGAGACTCCAATTCAAAACAGAGATTTTTTGCTTGGAAAGTAGATCTGTAACCTACTTCAGGACATCAATAACAACAATTAAAAGCAAAATTTTGTTAGCTGGGCATGGTGGCGCGTGCCTGTAGTTTTAGCAACTTGGAAGGCTGAGGCGGAAAGATCACCTGAGCCCAGCAGGTTGAGGCTGCAGTGGCCATGAGTGTGTCACTGCACTCCAGCCCGGGTGACAGAGTGAGACTCCAACTCAAAAAAACCCCAAAAAACAAAATTTTAGAAAACTGTTAAGGAAAGTGAACATTTTAAATACATCTCTATTGATGGAGCCTAGCTTCTGGGTAGGCTTTTCTGTGTCTTGAGCGCATCACTTACCTCTTCTTTTTTTTCTTAGAAATTACAGCTTTGCATGGGGAAAGTTGATCAGAAAGCTCCAGAATACATCAAGATGGCAACATCATTAAAGTAAGCCGTTCCTTTCTGTTTTCTAATCCAGTGGGGACTGTTTTCTGGCATTTCAGTTCAATTTTCCAGAAGCCAAAAGTGAAAAATCTTAACTTCAGCCCTGCATTTCTTCTGTGACAAGCTGACAAAAATCCTCATGTCTGTGTTTCCGTGGAGTACATGTTACCATCATATGAGTTTGTAAAAATGCATAGCCATGTTCATGTTCCAACCAAGCAGGTTTGGGAAGGGTCTCAGATGATAGGTATCACTGCTTATTGTAGTATCTGGAAGGAGAGGAGGAGGGGCAGTGGTTCTCATGCTAATGCCTGGGTAGATGCCACTTCAGAGTAGTGTTGAGATATCAGGGCTTAGAATAGGCTTTTCCTCGCCAGGGTTTACACCTATAAACCCAGCACTTTGGCTGACCAAGGCAGGAGGATCATTTGGGGGCAGGAGTTCAAGACCAGCAATATAGCTAGACCCCCCCATCTCTACAAAAAATTAAAAAAATAAGCCAGGTGGGGTGACGTGTGCCCGCCTGTAGTCTCAGCTACTCTAGAAGTTAAGGTGGGAGGGGTATTTGAGCCAGGAGGTGGAAGCCGCAGTGAGCTATGATCACTGCACTCCAGGCTGGATAACAGAGAGAGACCGTGTCTTTTAAAAAAGTAATAAAAAATAGGCCGGGCTTGGTGGCTTAGCCTGTGATCCCGTGCTTTGGGAGACCGAGGTGAGTGAATGACCTGAGCCTGTGGGTTCGAGACCCGCCTGGGCAACTTGGCGAGACCTCATCTCTACAATAAATCCAAAATTAGCCAGCCATGGTAGCATGTGCCTGTAGTTCCAGTGACTTGGAAGGCTGAGGCGGAAGGATCGCCGAAGCCCAGCAGGTCGAGGCTGCAGTGGCCAGGAGCAGCCACTGCACTCCAGATGGGCGACCGAGTGAGACTCCAACTCAAAAATAATAATAATAATAATAATAATAATAATAATAATAATAATAATAATAAATAAATTAAAAATTAGAAAAAAATAAAACAGACGTTTCCCTTAGAGCAGTTGGCAAACTTCTGCCCATGGGCCAAATCTAGCCTGATGTCTTTCTTTTTTTAAATTGAGATATTCACACAGCAGACAGTTTTCTTTTAAAGTTCAGTGGTTTTTAGTATATTCATAAAGTTGTGCAGCCATTATCACTGTCTTTATTCCAAACATTTTCATCACCCCATACCTAATCAGAAACCTCAGACCTATTAGTAGTTGTTGCCCATTCCCCCTCTCCTTGGCAGCCACTAAGTTACTTTCTGTCTCTATGGATTTGTCTATTTTTGACATTTCATATAAATGGAATCATAAGTATAAAATTTTTTATGTCTGGCTTCTTTTACATAGTATAATGTTTTTAAGATTCATACATGTCGACACATCTATCAGTCCTTCATTCCTTTTATATGACTGCATTGTATGGATATATACTATATTTGGTTGATCCATTCATCAGTTGATGAACATTTGCGTTTTTTCCAATTTTGGCTGTTACGCATAATGTACCCATAATATTTATGTACATGCTTTTTGTGTGGATATATGTTTTCATTTCACTTGGGTATGTCCCTATGAGTGTACTTGCTAGGTTTTATAGTAATTCTATGTTTGTTTGTTTGTTTGTTTTGAGTTGGAGTCTTTCTCTGTGCCCAGGCTGGAGTGCAGTGGTACACTCACGGCCACTCCAGCATCGACCTGCTGGGCTCTGGTGATCCTTCCACCTAAGCCTTCTAATTAGTTGGAACTACAGGCGCCGCACTACCACGCCCGGCTAATTTTTTACTTATTGCAGAGACAAGGTCATGCCAAGTTGTCCGGGCTGGTCTTGAACCTGTGGGCTCAGGCAGTCCACTTGCCTTGGCCTCCCAGAGTGCTAGGATTACAGACTGAGCCACTGAGCCAGGCCAGTAATTCTATGTTTAACTTTTTGAGGAATTGCTAAACTGTTTTCCAGTGACTGCACCATTTTACATTCCCACCAGCATATATGAGGGTTTCAGTTTCTTTCCAGCCTTACCAATACATGTTATTGCTGCCTGTTTTTATAAAGTGTACTGGAGCATAGCTGTGCCCAGTTGTGTGACTACTCTCTAGTTGCTTTTTCCCTACCACAGCAGAGTTAAATAGTAGTGACAGAGATTGCATGGCCTGCAAAGCTGAACATTTTTGTGATATGGCCTTTTATAGAAAAAACTTGCTGCTTAAGAGCATTGTTCCTTTTGAAGGTTTGTGTATGTGAGCTGGAATTTGAGTGCTCACATACACTCAAAATCGAATCCCAGCCACATTTTCCCAGCCTGGTATCTGGGTTCTTAATTTGAGAGTTTAGAGTTTCCTGCCTTTGTCTTAAACCTGTATTGCCCATCTGCCACGTTTATAGTGATGCATGTAGCAGTAGATGTGCCTTGTTTAAAACAAAACTCTATTTTTATTTAGACATTTTAATTATGGCACTCTTTTATAGTGCTCCAAAAAAACAAAGGGTATGGACTTGGGTTTTGCTTCATGATGTCAACGACCATGTTTTAAGCCCATCATGCGGGTCTCCCTTGCAAAGAAAATGAACTTTTTAATTAGTTTGGTCTTTAGGGAGTTTCCTGACCTTTGAGTCTATGAATGTCTGACTTACAGAATATGTAAGGCTAAACCCAGTCGGTTTGTGCAAGAGCACACCTTTCCCAGCATTTCTCCCTGATAATTATTGCTTCCGGACTCTCCTTCCGTTCCCTGTTCTTTACCTCGATGTTTCCCAGGCAACAGGGAGGAAAGAAAGGTGGGAAGAGAATTGAAAAGAGAATTTCCCTGTTTTAACAACTCAGAGGGCTGTAGTTCCTGGCAGCAGAGAGTGGAAGGGGAGGAGCCCCATTTCTTGAGCCCTTTCAGCCACCACTGTCCTAGATCCCCTCCCCTATGCTAACACCTCCTCTACCCATCTCCCCCTTTCTGTTCCTTAGCCTAGAGTACTGGTTCTAAAGAACAGCAGGAAGGGGCACACGCATATTTTCTTCTCTACCTGCTGTTCACTGAGCAGTTATTTCCATCAGTGGAGCGTCCCACCCTCCCTGTGAGTAGCTGGAAGAAGCACTTCAGGGGATTCGGATACATACCTCCTCTAAGTGGAGAAAGCCTTGGCATGGAGCACCTGTCTCATGCTCCTTTCCTCTCTGGACCTTACTAGAATCAGCACCACATATGCCTCCTCACCCCTTCCCATGAATTTGATGTTTTGAGCATGTGGGCCTCCTATGCTTTTCATCCTGGGTGCCAGCAGGAGAGGTACATTACTGGCCATTTGAGCTGGCACCCAGCATTTTCCTCGTGATATTGCTACCCAGGGTCTGGTCTCCCTGCGTCCTGTGGTTTTCCTGCTTTGTGCCTCACATGCAGTTGTGAGTTAATGGACTTCCCTGGTTAGCTGGGGAGCTACCGTTACTGAGAACAATTCTAGATTTCTGATTCTTTTTTTTTTTTTAAGTTGGAGTCTCACTCTGTCACCCAAACTGGAGTACAGTGGCTGCTCATGGCCACTGCAGCCTCGACCTGCTGGGCTCCGGTGATCCTTCCTCCTCAGCCTTCCAAGTAGCTGGAACTACAGGCATGTGCTATCACGCCCAGCTAATTTTTGATATATTGTAGAGATGAGGTCTGGCCAAGTTGCCCAGGCAGGTCTCGATCTCGCGGGCTCAGGCAATCCACTCACCTCGGTCTCCCAAAGCGTGGGATTTCAGGCTGAGCCACCGAGCCCAGCTTAGGTTTCTGATTCTTTCTCCTCCTCTTCAAGAGACTAGTTCTAAAGGGCTTTAGGCCCATTTCATTCGTTCATTCCTTTATTCAGTGAATATTTATCACACACTAGTTATATGCCTTATTCTAGTCTAGATGCTGGGGCTCTAGCAATGATCAGGGAAGGCTGCTGCTCTCATAGAGCTTTGTTTTTGTGGAGCACAGACCATCAAGTGAATAAGATAACACCAGACATGATAGGTGCTCTGAGGGAAATAAAATTGCTGTGACTGAGACCAGAGGAAGTGATTTCAGATTTGAGCCAACCTTGCTATTTTCCACATGACTTGGAGATATCACGACAAAGCCTGTCTTCTCATTTCAAGTCCAATGTTCTTTTTGTAAACTATGCAGTGAGAGATGATGAAATCACCTTATTGAATCCTCAAATTGCAGGACACACTAATATTTTTCCAGCTAGGACTGTTTCATAGGCGGTAAGACATGTAAATGCAACAGTCCTTTCTGCTTGTTTAACTTAAATTGCTGCTGCTTCAATCAGGGAGTTGAGTAGCCATTGCTGTACTCATGGCTGAGATCTTCTGAAATCTTCTAGTTACTGAGGCAATAAAAGTGAAAACCCATAGCCATTTCTTTTATAATTTAGTAGTCTTTGGGGCAGGGTGACGGGCTTGTAAATGAATAGTGATAACATCACACAATAGCTGCTGCTGAGACTTGAGATAAGCCACCTCTGGTCTTCCCGAATATCTCCACTCCACCCTGATTTGGAATCAAAGTGCTTTTCTCTCTTTCTCATTCGTTGCCCAGACTGGAGTGCGGTGGCATGCTTACAGCCACTGCAGCCTCGACTTCTTGGGCTCAGGCGATCTTTCCACCTCAGACTTCTAAGTAGCTGAAACTACAGGTGTGCGCGACCATGCCTCGCTAATTTTTTTGATTTATTGTAGAGATGAGTTCTCACCAGGTTGACCAGGCTGGTTTCGAACTCCTAAGCTCAGGCAGTCCTCTCAACTTGGCCTCTCAAAGTATTGGAATTACAGGCTTGAGCCCCCGCTCCCAGCCCAAAGTGCTTTTCTCACATAAGACCTGATACATGGGACAGTTGGTGTGATGCCTGTTGGGGACTTCTTAGTCCACTCTGTGTAGTCTTTGAGTGAGAAAAGCCAAGTGGCTTTCTACTCTAATGTAGTGCAACCAACTTACTTAGTAAACCACTTCTAATATCTTATTAGATGTAGTGAAAGTGTTTAGGGAAAGTAGGCCAGAATAAATTCAGTTACAATTGTTTTGGTGATGAGCATAACGGCTAGTTCTCAGTCTTAGGCACAAGTCTATTCCTATGGAGTCTGCAAATTGAAAACCAGCTTTTAGTTGATTACTTCATTCCAAAGAATAGACTCTGAGAGTCTGAAATGCCACTTTAAGAGAATTTTTTTTTTTTTGAGTAGGAGTCTTACTCTGTCGACCAGGCTGGAGGGCAGTGGCACGCTCCCAGCCACTGCAGCATCAACCTGCTGGGCTCAGGTGATCCTTCCACCTCAGCCTTCAAAGTAGCTGGAATGACAGGCATGCACCATCACGCCCGGTGCATTTTTGATTTATTATAGAGATGAGGTCCCGCCAAGCTTGCCCAGACTGGTCTTGAACTTGTGGGCTCAGGCAGTCCTCTCACCTTGGCCTCCCAGAGTGTTGGGATCATAGTTGTGAGCCACCATACCTGGCCTTACTTTGAGAGAATTAACCATCTGCCTTTGTGAGGCCTTAAACCTTTAGTGTCTGTACTACACTGTTCAATCCATACAATGAAACTTAGATCACATGTCTCTGTTATTTCTCCTTAGTGCCGGGGAGACAACTTACAGTCTGGAACATGCCAGTGACCTTCGACTGGAAGTCCAGAAAGTGTATGAGCTAATAGATGCTTTAAGGTAAGGTACATCAGGTGGTGTCCTACCTGTTGATGAGTGGAGAAGGTGCTGTTCTAATGAAGTGGTGGTAGTGAGCAGACCTGTGCTCACGTACAATCCTGGTGATGGTGGGAATACCTTGATGGTGGGAATGCCCTCAAGAAAGTGGCCAGCTCTGGCTCTTAATCCATTTCAGTGACTTTTGGTTAAGGGTTTATAATGTTCATTATTATTAAAGAGGAGCTGGTTATTGATACCAGTTGCTTCCCAGTCACTGGCTCTTTCCTCATAGAGTAGCTCATTTATTCTACCACTGTCACCCTTTGAGGTAAGGATTAACATCCCATTTTGTAGGTGAGAAATTGTGCTACAGCTAGCAAAAATGGTGGAGCCATGATAAAAACCCAGATTCTTTCTTTATGTCTATGCTTGCTTTTCAAATTTATAACTGCTTTTTTTTAATTTTTAATTTTTATTTTTTTAGAGATGGGGTCTTGCTATGTAGTCCAGGCTGGTCTTGAATTCCTGACCTCAAGCTATCTTCCCACCTCAGCTTCCCAAAGTGGTGGAATTATAGGTGTGAGCTACCACTTCCGACCACCACAGCTGCTTTTTGAATGTGGATGACTAGCTGTTGGGGTTAAATCAGCCCCTTGAGGTGGAGAGAGTACAGTGACTCAGAGGGGGTACTGAGATGAGGACTTTTAGTCCATGCAGATATGTGAGACCGACTACATAGTTTGTGGGGCCTTGGTGCAAGATGAATGTGCACAGTCCCTGTTCAGAAATTAAGAATTTTAAGACAATGACAGCAGAGCATTAAGCACGTGACCCTTTTAAGTGCCAGACCCTGTGCAGTTGCATCGGTCACTCACTCATGAAGCCAGCTCTGCATATGTAGTCAGTCCCTCGATGAGTGAGCATTTGTCGTGCACCCTGTGCTGTGTCAAGAATCTTGGATACAGCCAAAGGATGCGAACTGGGCTTACACTCAAGGAAGTTTCCATGGAGTCACTTACTGTCTCCACACATCTTTCTGCAATGATGAAAGTCTGGCAACTCCAGAGACTTTACTCCCTTATTTCCGAGGCTGGCAATGTTTGTTACATTGATGTATCTGTTCCAATTCAGTAAGAAGATCTTAACCTTAGGCTTGAACCAGGACCCTCCACCACATCCAAGCAATTTGCGACTGCAGAGGATGATCAGATACTCAGCCACGCTTTTTGTGCAGGTAAAACCATCCTGGGGTGGCGTAAATGTTGCACTTGGCCTATCCTGCTCTTTTACCTCTTAGGAGGTAGATTCATGCCAATGGCTTGTTTACTTTCTTTTCTTTTTTCTTGAGTTGGAACCTCACTGTTGCCCAGGCTAGAGTGCAGTGGGATGCTCCTCCTGCAGCCTTGACCTGCTGGACTCAGGCAATCCTTCTATGTCAGCCTTCCAAGTAGCTGGATCTATAGGCATGCACCACCACACTCAGCTGATTTTTTAATTTATTTTAGAGACGAGGTCTTACCAAGTTGCCCAGACTGGTCTCGAACCCCTAGACTTTGGCAACCTTATCGCCTCTGCCTCCCAAAGCGCTGGGATTACAGGTGTGAGCCACTGTATCCATCTTGCTTGTTTACTTTTTTATATTTTTATGTTTATATTTCTATATGTTTATATTTTTACATGTTTTATATTTGCTATTTATATGTTTATTATTTTTAAGATCATGAATGCAGCCGGGCTCGGTGGCTCAGCCTGTAATCCCGTGCTTTGGGAGGCTGAGGTGAATGGATTGCCTGAGCCCGCAGGTTCGAGACCCGCCTGGGCAACTTGGTGAGACCTCATCACTACCATAAATCAAAAAATCAGCTGGGCATGGTAGCGCGTGCCTGTAATTCCGGCTACTCGGAAGGCTGAGGCGGAAGGATCCCCGGAACCCAGCAGGTTGAGACTGCAGTGGCCGGGTCGCCATTCTGGGCGACAGAGTGAGACTCCAACTCAAAACAAACAAACAAACAAACAAAAAAGATCATGAATGCATTATGTTACATTAAGAAAAAAATACGGATTTTAATCCACATTCCCAGTATAATCACTCATCATTTTGGTATATTTTCTTCTCTTTTTTTTTCCATTTGCATGTTTATAAACAGCAGTTATAATTAGTGCATATTTGTGAATTTGTGTCTTCTTTTTTTATCACTGAATTTTCTATCATGAGCACTTTTTTACATAATGTTCAGCTATCATTTGAATGGCTGCAGAATACTACTTTGACTGTATATGCCATCCTTTATTTAACCATTCCCCTTTAGTTGGGCATTTGATAAACTTTAATTTTTTGCTGTTCTAAGTCTTGCTCTGATGGACATACTGGTACTTAGCATTTCTTCTTTGGGATAAGCTCCTCAGGGACTCTTCCTGGGCCACTGGTTGAGAGGAAACAGCCGGTTGTTCAACGGCAGACTAAACCTAGGTGGTTAGATGTGAGTTGTGTCTTTCTACCGCTGGAAGTCCCTTCTGAGAGAGTCGAAGTTAACCACCTTTAGAGCTTCCAGACAAAGAGATTTCATAGAGTCCTATTGGGTTAGTTTTCTGACATTTTAGTGCTGAGTAGGCCCTTTGTCCTGCTGATTAGTGAGTCTATTCAGCGATCATTTGTTGTTGCGTCCTATTATGAACCAAACAATGTTCTAGGTTCTAGATGTCTTATAGTGAACGAAAAAGACAAACCTTCCTGTTCTCATAAAGCTTATATTCTAGAGGGAGCCAGACAATAAGTAACTAAAGTATGAGGGGTGACCCAAAACAAACCATAATTTACTTATAAAAAATTGTGTATTTATTCTTACATGTTTAAACTTTGGTCAGGCGTAGTGGCTTATGCCTATAATCCCAGCACTTTGGAAGGCCGAGATGAGAGTGCATGGGTTTGAGACCAGCCTGGGCAACTTGGCGAGGCCTCATCTCTACAGTAGATAAAAAAAAATTAGCTAGGCATGGTGGTGTGTACCTATAGTTCCAGCTTGGAAAACTGAGGTGGAAGATTGCCTGAGCCCAGCAGGTTGAGGCTGCAGGGGCCATGAGCACTCCAGCCTGGGCCTCTGCACTCCAACCTGGGCGACAGAGTGAAACTCAAAAAACAAAAAACTTTGCTCACTTCAAAGTACTCTCCGTTTGATGCAATACACCTATTGAGATGCTTTTTCCACGGCTCAGAACAGTTTTTGAACTAGTCCATTTTGATGCCTTTTAAGGTGCTTTTGCGGTTTTTGTTTCATGTCTTCTACATCAGCAAAACATTTCCCTTGAGGACTTTTTTCATCAAGGAAACAAAGTTACTTGTGGCAAGATTGGGTGAATAGGGAGGATGGGGCATGTAGAGCATGCTGTTTTTGGTCAAAAACTGCTGAACACTCCCTATGGTGTGGGCAGGTGCACTTGTAAATCACCCATCATGAAACGGGCAAACACACTGAAAGAATCTCCCCCCGAAACTCACTGAAGCCGAACGCAGCCTCTCACAACAACATTAATTGGTACACTGATGCTGATGGGTTCCTATAACACTCACCTCTCAGAGAAGCCTGTGCTACCGGGGACCTGTCTCCCAAAAAATAATTCCTGTCTTTTGGGTCCACTCTAATATGTAAGATGGCAAAAAGTTGAGAAATGTAAAGCAGGGAAGGGTGGTAGGTAGAGCTGGGATAGAGATTCACAAAGTTAGATAGGGTAGTCAGGGACAAGGGCTCATGGAGAAACTGATACTTGAGCCAGGTGAATAACTAGGATATCTGATGGTGATCATTTCATAGGAGAGAGCATGCCTATTTCGAAGTTGACTTTTTGGCCTGATGTAAGGGTTAGAGTGTCTTAGCATAAGCAGAATCTCATCAGTGTTTAAGGTTCATTGTTTTCCCTAAGAGGGTTTAAGTGTAAAATTTTCTGTGACTCCCTACAGGAAAAGTTGCTTGGTTTGATGTCACTGCCAACCAAAGAGCAGTTTGAGGAACTGAAAAAGAAACGGAAGGAGGAAATGGAGAGGAAGAGAGCTATGGAGAGACAGGTGAGTGAGCCAGGAATGCAGGTTCGCGTCCTCCTGTGACTCTCAAGCACGAGGCCACCAGGGCTCCCAGGAGGTCCTGTGAAGTTGTGGTGAATCAGAAACTTTCACTGTCTCAAGTTTGCAATTTTTTTTTGAGTTGGAGTCTCATTCCGTTGCCCAGGCTGGAGTGCAGTGGCACACACGCTCACAGCCACCCCAGTGTCGACCTGGACCTGCTGGGCTCCGGCAATCCTTCTGGCTCTGCCTTCCAAGTAGCCGGAACTACAGGTGTGCGCTGCCATGCTCAGCTAATTTTTTTTTTTATTGTAGAGACGAGGTCTCGCCAAGTTGCCTGGGCTGGTCTCAAACTTGCAGGCTCAGGCAATCCACTTGCCTTGGCCTCCCAAAGTGCTGGGATTACAGGCTGAGCCACCGAGCCTGGCCTGCATTTTTTATATTGTATTTCAGCCTCACTCTCTTCTATGGGGACCAGGGTGATTTTTTTTTTTTCCAGAGCTTCTGCTGATACTCTTATGTGTAGAATACCACAGAGATTGGCAGTTCTCCCTGTGGCAGAAGTTGCAGAGGACCAAGACGCCAGCAAGTTCTTTGTTGAGCACATCGGAATAGGCAATATTAAATGGAAAATAATATATGTATTTAGCATTGTATGAGATTCTAGTGTAGATGAGGGTAATAGATGTCAGAGGTTTACAAAAAGTGTACAGTCTATGAACCTAAGATTGGGAAAATCTTATCACCGAACTTTTTGTTATCCATTATTTTATTTTTGAAAAGCAAGGCTTCTTGCTCTCCCACAAAAAAGCATGTTTTTGACTTTAGCAGTTGGATATTATAGTCCTGAGGTGGGAAATTCGAGTATCATTGGCATAGGGATAGAGAAACCATAGGGAGTAGCTGACTCTGGGCTGCTGCTGGCCTGGTGACTGTGTTTCTTCTTTCCGGCTTTGGTGTCTCCCCAGGCTGCCCTGGAGGCTCAGCGGAGGCTTGAGGAAAGGCGGACTGGCCTGGCATCTCGAGCAGCCAATGGGGAGGTGGCATCTCTCCGCAGGGGCCCTGCCCCTTTGAGAAAGGCTGAAGGCTGGCTCCCGCTGTCAGGCGGTCAGGGACAGAGTGAAGACTCGGATCCCCTCCTCCAGCAGATCCACAACATCACATCATTTATTAGGCAGGCCAAGGCTGCAGGCCGCACAGATGAAGTGCGCACCCTGCAGGAGAACCTGCGGCTGCTGCAGGACGAGTATGACCAGCAGCAGACAGAGAAGGCCATCGAGCTGTCCCGGAGGCAGGCCGAGGAGGAGGACCTGCAGCGGGAACAGTTGCAGATGCTTCGTGAACGGGAGTGGGAACGAGAAAGGGAACAGTTCCGTGTGGCATCCCTGCATACACGGACTCGGTCCCTGGACTTCCGAGATATCGGGCCTTTTCAGCTGGAGCCCAGCAGAGAACCTCGCACCCACCTTGCTTGTGCGTTGGATCTCGGCTTGTCCCCACCTCAGAACAGCACAGTTCCCAAGAACCCTTTACCCAGCTCAGCTGGAGAGCCTGTCAGAGTGTGGTCTGGGCCCCCAGCCCTTGGCCAAGAGTTCTTCCCCGAGAGCAGCAGCATGTCACAGCAAAATGAGGGGCCCTCTCTAAACCCCTTTGATGAGGAGGAGCGCTCCAGTCCCGCAGAAGAGGGTGCGGCCATCCCTCCCGCTGCAGAGGCTTCTCTCACCCCTTCAGCCCACATCCCAAAAGGGTATAATCCTTTTGAGGAGGAGCAAGAGGAGGCAGTGGCAGGGCCAGGGAATCCTTTCGCCCACCCAGACAGTCCAGCACCCAACCCGTTTGACGAGGAAGGTCAGCATCCTCAGCAGGGGCCCTCAAGCCCCCCACGTCCTAGTAACCCCTTCGAGGAACTCACCTGTACCAACCCCTTCGAAATGGACAGTGACAGTGGGCCAGAGGCTGAGGAGCTCATAGAGGAAGAGCTCCTCCTGCAGCAGATTGATAACATCAAGGCATATATCTTTGATGCCAAGCAGTGCGGCCGCCTGGATGAGGTGGAGGTGCTGACAGAGAACCTGCGGGAGCTGAAGCACACTCTGGCCAAGCAGAAGCGGGGTGCCGACTGACCAGCAGTGGGTGACACCTTTGGGCCCCGGGGCCTGGCCGGAGCCAGTGCAGCCGGTGAGAGGACAGGTGGGACTGATGAGGAAGGAGGCGGGGTGAGAATTCAGATGCACGCAAGTTAGGGGCAGGAATCTGCTGTTTTCTGCTGTGCACTTTGTGGTGTTTTCCACTACAGTTGCATAATAAAATAGGAGTCAGAACAGGAAGAATCAGCATTTGTTTGCTGTTTTTCCTGTTTATTTTTTCCTTAAACTGGAGGTTTCCGCCTTTGGAGGGGATTTTACATTTTTACTACCAAGACAACTAAATGCAGCTCTATTGGGCCCAGGGCAGAAGTGGCTGCCATGTATCTCTTGGGTCCATTTGCTCCAGCCTAGTCTTGGGTTCTTATGCAGTATTATAGGGCAGCTTTTCACAGGGCCCTTCCTTCAGTCAAGACCAACAAGATGGATTCATGTATTCTGCTCTGGCAGAAGTTCGTCCCCAGTAAGCTATGGATTCTGCTTCATCTGGGGCTTCTACGCTGCTCGGTGCTTCCTGCCTGTACAGTGGAAGAGGAAAGTGCTGCTGCGAAGGGAAGAGTTTAGACTCAGAGAGCCCAGCACCTCCTTTTTTTTTTTTCGAGTTGAAGCCTCACCCAAGATGGGATGACTGGGGAATATTTTGCCAGGATCTGTTTCCCTCAGTTTAAGTTTTTGTTTGTCTTTTTTGGGAGTAAGCTCCCAGTGCAGGGGTAGCAATGTGAATTTGATTATGGGTTTTTTAGAAAACAGGAGTGGTTGACTTTTTGGTTTATATTAGTATTATTTGTGAGAAGTTTCCCCAGCCTTGCTCTGGTAGAACAATTTTCTGTCCCTGGAGATACCTCCTTCCAGAGCTTTGACAAAATTATTCGGATCTGGGCCTATTTTAAAGGCCCAGTCTAGAATTTAGGAATTGGTGATCTGCCGGGCATGATGGCTCATGCCTATAACCCCAGCGCTTTGGAGGCAAAGGCGAGAGGATTGCCTGCGCTCATGGGTTTGAGGCCAGCCTGGGCAACATGGCGAAACCTCATCTTTACAAGAAATTAAAAAATTAGCCAGGCGTGGTGGCGTATCCCTGTAATTCCAACTACTTGGAAGGTTGAGGCGGAAGGATTGCCTGAGCCCAGCAGGTCAAGGCTGTGGTGGCTGTGAGCTGCCATTGCAGTCTGGGCAGCAGAGCGAGACTCCAGCTCAAAAAAAACCCCCAAAAACCGGAATTGGCAACCTGAAAGCTTTGTGGAACGTCATCAGGTGAAGGGATGCTTCCCTGCGCCAGAAGATAAAATAAATTCCAAGACACTTTGATCAAGTTTCTTCCCTTTTGGTTCATCCTGTCTCTGACCTGGAGCATTGATGGAGATATTTTATTACCAGTGTTTAGTGTTAAGAAACTGAAATGTTTGAAGAAGCACAACCCAGGATCATTCCAGTAGCACCTCAGTACTTGAACACTTCACCAATCAAGGGCAGAAAGGGAAGTTGTTAATTTAGCTCTGGTGCTTTGGTTTACAGGAACATAGTCCTTAACTGACCATCTGACACCATGTGCTCAGCTCTGGATTGAGTTTCTGCAATTATGCGTCTTGATTAATGAACAGTAACTGACCACTAGTCACTTTATACCCCTTAGCTAGCTCTGGGCCATACTTTCACTGGTTACTGGTGTGAGAGCTGCAATTCATTTTGTTACATTCTGGTGAAGACTTTGCTTGATAATGGGAATGTCTGAACTCTCTTGGTGTAAAAATTATCTGCATTTGTGTCAATGCTATTCCTATTTCCTTAGCACCTGCTAGGTCTTTCGGCTGAATGAAAAGGTCCTGTGTAGGCATATGAGTGGCCAGCCAGTCACCAGCCCTGCTGCTTGTCTTGGGAAATCGGCAGCCAGGCAACTGCCAACTAAGATGTTGCTTGGCACAGGCCTCTTTTCTTCCCTGAAGCCCATGACCTTCCTACTGTCGTTCTGGAGGGACTCCCGGGTGGCTGCTGGGCTCCTCCCTGCTCAGGCTGACATTTCTGTACCTGAAGAGGAGGCTCTCTGCACTGAAAAGCAGGTAGTTCCAGAAGCTAATTGTTGCTTTCCATCATCATCACTTTTCTTATGAGAACATCTCTTTTAATTAGCTGGTGATATCAGTTAAAACTAATTCACTAAATGTACCTCTTCCCTGAAATCAATCCAGGTAGCAATCTATAGGTAACTAAGCATTGAGAAACACGCAAGAAATAGTTTTAAAAACTATTTTTAGAAACTCAGCTCACTGAATATACTAAGCCAAGCTAAAATCAAATCCCTTTGATTTGATTGAGTTCTTCCACAGCTGTATTCTTTTATGAATTCTTCCGTTTAATTCTTTCATGGCTATATACTCCTGTAGATGTAGACATGACAGGACCCCTCCTCTGTACCATATCCCAGAATTCATGCAGGCACAAAGTTGGATTTACAGAGATAACAGCAGGGAAAAGTTGGCCTGTGAATTGTAACCACAACTTTAGGTTTTTACCTTGTGAATATTTAACCCTGCAGCCTTTCAAGGGAATCAGTGCTGTCTCCTTAGCAAATGAGGGAGGTCTTGATGTGGCATAGTAGATCTCCCTAGATAGACATAGATCATGATCATATACGGATGAAACTTCAGAATTCAGGCACCAGATGAAGTTGACTGTCCCTTTTATGCCTTGTTTGTATTTTCCCCTGTCTAATACACTAAGGTCATTTATTGTACTTGCAGCTCAATGTGTCTTTGCTGTTCAGATACTAAAATGTACCTCTGACTCACCATGAACCGTGCAGTAGGTTGGACGTTGGCATAGTTGGTGATGGACTCACAATGAGAAGCTGGTCACTTTACTAGGTCACAGACTGGAGCAGCAAATTGTGCTGGTCATCTGACAATGACTGTCAGTTTGGGGGTCATTGATTTGCATGCACTACTCTGGGGCCTTGTAATGGAACCGTTTTTTTAAAAATAAAATAACAGATGCTAGTTGTTGGGGTTGTGTGTGTGTGTATGTCCACATACATTATAGGTGAGACTCAAAGCATGGCATCCCACCTCCTTTTCTGATGATAACCATCTGAGTATCAAAAGATAGTCCCAGCTTCTGTGTCACCTGTCTGGTTAAGGCCTCTGGACAAAATCAAGGTCACAAGGCTCTGAACAGGGTTACTATTCTGCCCGTATCCCCAATGCTGGTTAAATGAACTGTTTTAGACAACTGTAGTGCAAAATCCTTTACAGTCTCATCATTCCATTCACACCGGAAGAAACTGAGGCTCGGATGTCGGGAGCCTTGTGACTGCCGTTTGTGCCAGACACTCTGCTACATGGCCACACCTTGCTCCTTTAGCTCTACCAACATCCTGTGAGGTAGTTACTCAGCTGTTCATCTGACAGACAGGTGAAGAGAGGATAGCCTGGCTCAGGTCATGTAGCCAGTCAGTGGTGGAATTAGGGTTTAAACCCAGGCCTCCCTGACTCACTTTGCCGTCAGCACCAAGTAGCACTTTGCTGTCAGCAGCAAGTAGCTGGGTCAGGTAGTGCTGAGGTGCTCAAGCATTGTGTCAAAACTCAAAGGTGGCAGAAATGGGCCATGAGGCTGGATACTGTTGAGTGGGTTTCTTATAGTGATTTCACTTTGGCCTTTGAAACAGGCTTTCGTAGATCCTTTGTAGATTCCTAAAGCAGGAGGGGATAATATTTAGTGCTTACTGTAGGCTAGATGGAATACTAAGTATTGTGCATGGTAAACCAACAGCCTCAAGTTGCAGATGAAGAAATTAGTGATGAGGGTAAACGCCAAATCCAAGCTGCCCTAGCCTGCTTTCTGTGTGAATATCCATATTTTTAATGTGGAATGGGCGTTTCATCCATAGTCCTCCAGGGGACTTGAAGATCAAAAGTTCTTCTGCCCAAAACTCTTCAGTTCCCTAACATAGTTGTAAAAATACTTAAGAACTCTTCTAGTTTAAAAGTTGTCACTTTCGCGACCCGCCTGGGCAACTTGGCGAGACCTCATCTCTACAATAAATCAAAAATTAG